GATTTGCATGTCTCAGCGCACCAATACTGATTAAATGCCAAAATAGAAATAACCAACAATTCAGATGCCCGTGCTTACTTTTACATCTGATACTCAACATAATTCACTAACGGTGGACAGGAGTGTTCTCCTGGTACCTACAGAAATATTACCAAACAGTCATTACTCAAATGTACATTAGCGAGAAGATTAAAGACTATAACCACCCACTTTTCATATTCACCTTCCAGCTGGCTGTTTCAGTAAGCAGACATCGTGATGGGAGTGTCTAGATTCAATATTTCAAGTGGGATAGCTCCATGCAAAAACACACAAAAAGCAGCAGAACCAAGGAGTGTCTCAGAGGGCAGCAGAACTCAGATATCCCTACCGTGCATATTCAGAACAAAGTGTCTGCTTCAGGTATGGAGCTCTAACAAAAACCCCATTAGTTTAACAAAGAGGGAATTTTATTTGGGGAGGGTGGGTTGCAAAGGGAAAGTCACAATACAGTGTGACTTTATTTGGCTTTTCCTTGCTTAATCATGATGGACCGCTTACTGATAATAATATCATAATGATGAAAAGAAAAATTCTTTAAGCAATCCCAAACCACAGACAATGACTGAGTGGCTTAGAAGATCCTCTTCCACATGCCCACCACTTCATGGTATCCCTTAGCTGAGATTTCACAGCACTGGCCTAAAATACCTTAGGAGAAAGTAGCTGAAGAAGAAAGTACTAACCGCATTAGTCTGTGTTGTCCTTTAAAAGAGAGGCATTCATTTATAGTCCGTAGAAGATTTCAGCCCCTAAATCTGAAAACCCCTGAAACTTTGATTTTTAGAAAAGCTGAAGTTCTAATAGCTTTCATGTCTAAACATCAGAAACAATTTAATCTTAAAAACAGGATAAAAATTAATGAAGTGTGCTGAATCTTTTTACAAAGTAGAAAAATAAGAACAAATCTTTGAGGAGAGGCGTCACATAAATCCCTGCTCCTGCACAGAAATGCAGGAAGATGATTAATTCCACGAGCAGCACAAGAGAACAGGAACAGAATAAAAGAGATGGCTGAAAATGAAAAAAGGCTGAGAAAACTGCAAAGACAAAAGACCCTTATTTAAATTGCTCAGATTCAACAATAAGCAGCGTATGACAGTTTGTCAATAAGTGTGAGAAACTCAACGGAGGAGAAATGTGAGGACTTCTGACATCGCCACAAACGAGAGCTGATAACAGCCAAATCATTCCGTATTTTTCATACATTTCAAAGGGCTTCCACATCAAACGGGAAGGTGCTCTGCAGGGGGTAATTTCATCAGCAATTAACTGCTCAGTTCTGGCTATTCATTTGGTTCAGACTCAACACCAAGCCTTTAAGTTCCTTCTAACACAGAGAAAGATTTCTCAGTCCAGTGCCCGCCAAGAGACTCCCACTGATTGCTCTCCAACTGCCGTTCCATATTATTCCGGACACCAGGAGGCAAAGGGAACAGGAAGCTCAAGGCAATACCAGCAGTAACAGAGCTCTCCTCTCCGTGCACCTCTACACCTACCACATGGAAGAACAAACCAAAAAAATCCCTACAAGCCACCAGCACTGCAGTCTGGCAAGGCAGGAGTGCTTCAACTGCTTAATGGCACTTAATTAAAACGGTGTGCTTGGGTACAGTCCTTAAATCACTTTTCTAATTAGGAAATGCACTCTGGCCCAGGTCATGAGCTGTGCAACGCCAGCAGGGGACTAAACCAGCTTTGAGTCAAGTGCACTAGAGATTAGTCTCGTTATTCAGCAACGGTCTCTCAATCAGAACAAAAACTCCTCCTGAAAACATGCACCTAGCGAAGGAAAAGGGTCCAGGAATCAGTACTGAACAGCACACGGAGTGCTGGATTAATCTCATCACATTGCTGTTGCTTTTTCCTGGCAAGCTGTTTAACAAAATACACAGCGATGAGAAAATAATTGACTCTCTCTCCTACTATAGAAGATAATTAAGATTTGTTTGGTAGAACAAAAGACAAATCAGGGTTGAAAAAAAGTCAACATAATTTTCAGTGGTTTTTTGACAGCTGGAGAGAGTGAGTATTAAAATGGATTAAATGCAATTATCCTAGTTACTTTTTCTCTGTTGATTCAGAAAATGACAAGAAGATGATGAACTTCAGGACAAGATACAGCATCAGTTTGGAGCAAACTGCTTTTTTTCAAGCATGTAATAAACGAGCCACAGTTTTGCTTCACCAACAAGCAGCCAAAGGTGATGAAGCACTACCCAAAAGGCAGATCAAGGCTGACAGAAGTGAGAGAAATGCCCTGATGTTCCAGGTTAGCAACAGACTAATCTGAAATGGATTAAACAGCGCAGTCTTTTTAAAATAAAAAGTCCCCCCACTGGTTTGGAAATACGAGTGTACCAGCAAGTCTCTTGATTTAGTTGGGACCCAGATTCTTCATCTTCTTTCACTTATTAAATCTTGGACCCTGATTTTGAGCACTGACATCTCATAAGGACTTCAAATAATAGTTTGGACACCAGCACTCCTGAAAATCTGTCTGTAGAAAGGACACATGCACAGCCTCCTCTTCTACCAAAGCAACAGCTTCTACAGCAAAGCAGCCATGGCCACGAGTCATCGTATTGCTGCCCACAAAGCCTCATCCTTTAAAAATTCTCAGTATCTTCTGTTCTTGATCCCCATGCTCCTCTCTCCAGTTCTACAGAGCAGCTGTCAAATGTACGTTTTTTCCCCTCTTTTTACTTTTGTTATTTCTGGTCTTCCCAAACTTTAGAGTTAACAGACTAAACAGGTAAACTTCTGCTGGTTTAAGCTAATACAACGTATTTTACAGACATAAGGTTCAGCACAAGTAACTGGATCACTTGAGGTCATCATCGCCCCAGTACAGACCCCCAGACACGGCAAGAACGCATTCCAAATGCAGAAGACCCGACAGCATTTTGATTTAGCATAAAACACATCTTCAAGACGTTTCCAGTTCTGATGCCTGCTAATGGTTTTGACATGTAACAAGTGACAGAAGTGTCCAGACAAAACCACATCTTTTTCTCACAAGTTTTCATACTCTCTAATTCCGCACAAGGCTGAAGCATTGCTGTCTGCTTATCCTAGTAAATGAAAAGCCAAAATGTACGCAGAGATTTCCAGGTGTCTCACAGAAAGAAGAAGAAAAAGGAAAATAAAAATTGCTCTGCACATTCTAAGCACAGGCACATCACTGAATGACAAAGGCTTTTCTTCGTCTTATTATCTTTTAAGAAAAATCCCCTGAAGAGCTGTACGCCAGCTCATTACTAACTTTTGTGCATGAATTCATAAACAGTTTCAGGTAGCTCAGTTCAAAACATTTCTACTTTTGGTATTAAGTCTCTATGGCATTTGAACAGGAGGGAAAAATCAGATTTTAGGCTTCATTTCAAGATTATGATTTAATTGAGGACTTTTTTTTTTGGCCAAAGGTATGGGGAAGAACTAGAACATGATAAAACAAGACACATGAAAACACCAAGCTGCCTCCAGATCAGAAGTAGGTGAAATAATGTCTACAGAGATAATGCTTATAAAAAGGAAGGTTAATGGGAAATTGGTTCACAACAATTAACAAGTTGTCAAATGCCCATGTTATCTTTTAAAAGACAAGTTATTGTATCCCGCAAGCAAATAATGCAGCAAAATATCTGAGCTTTCTCAACAGAGTACAAAAGGCGAGGGGAATTACCATATTTTCTCCCGACTGCAGAAGAGCCTGCAGCCTGGTGACGAGCCCCCTGTGCCCTGTACTGTGCGGCTCAGGCACGCAGGAACAGAGTGCAGGTGACCATAAAAAGGGAGATGTCTCAGCACAACCAGATCTATAGCATGACAAGGCATCTCGCAGGTGCAAGAAAGAGATTATAGCAGAAGTGGAACTATAAAGTTACTGAGCCTTATTTGCAGCCTAAGCACAAGTCACAAAATTTTACTATACCTAGACGCAAGTATGAATACTTTAAAGGAGAACACTAAAAAACCTGGGGTCAAACCCCTTTGTTTCACACCAGGAGGCCCATATGGACATGGCAAACCATGCGGTCATAGCCAGAGAGAAAGAACATCATGCACAGCTCTCCCGTATTTCTGCCAGGAACAAGAGTAAGTTGTGTTGAGAAAACAAAATACGAGCTGCATATGAAAGAGAGGAATATCCAGGAAGAGGAGGCACTGGTTAACTGAAGGTACAGCACACACACCGGAATTAAGGTCATTCGCTGAAACATGTTTTCCGTGAAGAACAGAAGATACACTGGGTAATGGCTGCGAGAAGCACAAAAAGCCAAAAAAGTAAAACATGAAGCTCCAGGAAGCAGAATGAAAGGCTGGCTGAAAGTGTTGCAGTCCAATGAACACCCCAAGGAAAGCACGGAGCAAGACGAGATGCAGATACGGATTATCCAGCAGGACACAAAATAGAGAATCGCAGCACTGAACTGATACAATTCAGAACGTGAACAGAAAAGAGAATTTCTGCCAGCCAAAACTGAAGTCTATGTGAGTGAGGATTCCAGCATATCTGATCTTTTCACCAATACTCTTTTCTTTGAAGAGGACTGCTACGAGGAAATTGAAGAGCCTGGTGCTGAGAAACGCTTATACATCAGTTGTTGGCAGCAGATGAAAATAAGCGCTTAGTAACCCTTAGCGCATACATTGTATGTAGCAAAAAGAAGATTAGAAATGCTGAAAACATTCTTCGTGAACAAGAAACATCAACTGAAAACAAGACAGGGGAGTCAGAGACTGGAAAGGGGCATCATTGACTTCACTAACTCAAAAGATAAAGCTGTATTATCATGCCTGTGCGAGAGCAGTCACACGTACTGGATTGCCAGTCAACTACCAGTCACTCTACAACTGGTAATGTGCTGCTTTGGCAAAGGGGTATCAAAACATTTTCTGTTTTAAGGCCAAGAGCTACAGGATATACAGTCTTGCTGAGAATTTCTAGGCTGTCTTACCTCAAACATCTCTTGCTCTGTCCTACGATGATCATCCACGAGATGCTCCAGGTAGGTCAGATTACGGAATTTTTCTAGATAAGTACTGTATTGTTTCTGCAGTTGCTCCTCAATCTTCTCATACTCATCCATAAAAGCAGGACTGGAGAGAACAAGCACAAATTACTCAGTGAAATGAAGAATTTTGACACACTCAGTGTGCGCAGAATTCTGAACTAAGGATTTTTGGTTTTGCAGCTTCCTTTCCCTGTCTGATAAACTAATCTAAAAGGACCTTTTGTTTTTAAGGTTCAACACTACTTCAGGGACTAAAAGTGGAAGACAAAAAAACCTCATTAAGCTATCCTGCAAAAATTCCATCTAGCAAAGCAAAGGTTACTGGGTACCCACTACTGTTCCTCCAAAGAGGCAGGAAGGCACCCTTTGGGCCCCTTTATAAGGCAAATCTAAGTTAATTAACCTGCTGCTCCAGGACTCCAAAGAACTAGCTTGTAGCATGGCTGGTAAACCACCCACTTTGCTGGAGACTTACTTGCTACAGAACTGTGCTGCGTCATTACAAACATCAGCAGACTTGACACCAATAAGTGATGATGTCCTCATACTACAGAGACAAGTGTTACACCCCAAAGAACACTTCTGCTGTTCGATGCTTCACATTCACCCAGTTCACCTCCTCCAGAGTGCTACTGATCAAAACATGTATATGAATCAGTGTCATTCCTTCCACCACTCATTTTTCTAGTATTTCCTTTTTAAGTTTTCCAATACGAGGGCAAAAATAGAGCATGATCTTGCAGATTGTATCAACCTGAATTAATTAAGGGCAAGAAATCAACCCAAACTGTGAATCTGAACATCTTGATTTTTTGGCAGGCTGTATCATTGCCTGGAGAAACCGATCCTAACAAGGGATGCATAATGAACTTTTTTAATTGGTGGCTAAGAATGCTAGAAGCCTCTGGGAACAGAGGGAAGGTTTGCACCAGTTGCCATTTTCAGGAGAACAACCTGACACAATCTATGTTTAATGACAAAGGAAAAGACAAGACATGCTACCTGACCATTCTGTACAGCTCAGGCAGCAATTAAGCAACCCCAACAAATAATATTCTGGCCACTTCTAACAGCCCTGAAATTCTGATTTCAAATACACAGTAGTAGAAAAATCAACAACTACAATCCAGACTGGGCACTTCTAGAGAAGAGAACCTCTCTCTTCCATAAGCCACCGTCTTGGTCTCATTACAGACTTCACTCCTCGCTGCTCTCAGCATTAGCAACACACAGTTCCATCACTTAAGCTAGCACTCATTTACGCAGCAGATAATCAGTTCATAATCTTTACCGAACGCTTTGTAGAGTCTGTAGCCTCTTCTGGCTTCTTTCCAGTTCCAATTTTCGTTTTTCAATCTTGGCTTCTAAACTGGCTTCATCCAAAGCCACATTATACAACATGTCTTTAGTCTTTTGGACTTGTTCCTAAAAGAGAAGGATGGTGAACCATGGCTTGCACTGGAATAATCAGAATTATCTCAGATGCTGACCATTCTTCTGTATAATCTCACATCTCAGGTTATCAAATAACTTCATAACAATGAGCTAGAACATAAACTGCCCAGGCAATGAAAATTATCTTCAAGACAAAAGTCACTTTATAAAGAACTTATTCCATCTGCATATCTTCATTCTTTTCTAAGTCTTGCTTTTTCCACCTTTTCAAAATCTGGGAAGCATCCTGAACATCGCAACAAGTGCTACAGGAATCAGGAGGGGGAAGTGGGACTATTCCAGCTTACCACAAAGAGCCCAGTACATTCAGTGTGCTCATGCTCAGGAAACCATGAGCATCTTTTGAGCGAGAGAGAAAGAGGACTTCAGACTTGCCGAAATTCCAGCAGTAACTGTTAAGTGCTGCTCAGCTATAATAGATCATTTCATTAACTGGTCCAGAACTAAAACAGCTGAGGTACGTGATATTGATATTTCCCAAGAAGCCAATTGCTCTACTGTGCTGCTGTTAGTTTATTAGCACTGCTGCCTAGAATAGCAATGCATATGAACAACATTTAGAATTCATATAGACTGCAAGTGGCAGCAGAAACCTCAGGAAAGATCGGCTGGAGTATCTATTGATTACGCATTGGCTGTTTAAATCTCCAGCTCCACTCCTTGTAATTATGCAGCTGGACTGGGTACAGTTTGCAGTTAAATAACTTCTAGTAATCACTAGGATTTAATTAAGCACCATGCTTGCACAGTGGCTGTGAGTGCAGCTAATGGTTCAGAGACAGGAACCCAAGCTCTGAAGCAAGGACAGAGTTGCCAAGGTGGGACAAACCTTCTGAAATGAGAACTGTAACGATGCGTGGCACTAACTAGCACAGTGCCAGTTCTTCTCACCCCTTGGCCAGCTCAGCCATCCTGCTTCCAGAGCCCAGCTTCACAACTCCAGAGGTACCAGCACATTTTCAGTTGCCAGGATGACCCCTTGCAGCCCTGACTCTGCAAAGTTCACATGGCTTAGACAATGTTGGTGGGATGTAGATTTCTGTGATGATTCAGGCAATTTTTATCCCTCCTGTAGAGCCTCTGGGGGGACTACTGGGCTCCTAAGAGAGGCAGGGAATATGACTAAAATGAGGAAGGTTTTTCTGCCATTTTCTCCCATGAGAGAGGCCAACTGCAGTTCTTTGATGCATCGACTGGAGGAATGTTTCCACATGTTGAACCAACACACCTATACAGTGCAACAGCCTGAAAGCAGAGCAGGTCTTAACACGTTCTCCCAGGCAGAGCTGCTGACAGCATTGACCCTTTCTGCTGCAAGCTGTGGTTTCTGACAGCTCAGTCACCACTGTGCAGATACCTCCTTCGCTCTGCCAGGAAAGCCAGCAGTGTCAATTAACAGCCTCCTTCGCTTTGAATACCACGGATTGCCCAAATAAACCATGAGGATCACCAGTGACTGTATTAATTATCACCACACCAGGACTCATCACAGGCTGCTGCCTTGATGAACTGTTCACACAGCCAATGTTACCTGAAGACCAAAGTCTGCATTAGGCCATTAACCGAGGTTCAACACTAGCTATTAACTAACCAGCTGCAGCAATGCATGGTCCAGGCAGCCGGAGGTGATGTGTGCTTTCGCACTCTTAACCCTAGGATGCTGGTAAAAAGTGTTATGTTCTTCTTGCAGGAAAAGAATGATAATTTTGCAATTAAATAAATATCATTTTGCTTACCAGAACACAGTCAATGGCAATTTTCATCACCTTCTCAGCCTCATTTATCTCCAAAGGTCTGGCAATAGATTCTGTTCTTGCTTCCTACAAAATAAAAATACACCAATATATTTAAATGCTGCACAAAGGAACTAATATAAACAAAACCGAGGGTGGTCAAGCAACAATATGATCATCTGCAAAATAAACAGAGTAGGATTTACTCACTAAGGCTCAGATGACTTAAAGAACAGGACATGGTGAAAAAGTCAGTTAAGTGAGGCTGGGATTAACACTGAGCAATTAAGGTATTTTTTTCAAAACAAGATAAGTGCTACTGTCTGACCTGCAAGTATTCTTGAACGCAGATTTTTTGGAAACTGCACTGGTTGTTACATGTTGAGCAAGGTATGCAACGTAGCACAGAAGATTTCATCATCTTTACAACAAGACCATGGAAACAACAGTGCAGGTAGATGAGCAGTGCCACAAAAATTGTGGAGAACCAAGCATTGTGACTCCATCTGCCTCAGGCAGGCAGTGGGCAGCCAGCAGGTGCCTCCTATGAACGTATGAAAATCAGATGATGCAGATGTATGGGCTTCTCCAGCTCTGATAACCAAGTGGTTCAGAATCCTCATCAAAACAGTGATAGTCTAGATCCCACAGGATGATAAAAACCTCTCTGATTCTCAGCAGTTTTGGGGACAGAGGGGCTCAAGGGTATTCAGTGTGCACCTGTCTGTGTGATGTCTCACAACACTGACCTGGTCATTATGGGAAAACATTGGATTACTGGTTTGCTACTGGGAGGAGAGGAGGGAGGTTTTTGCAGCTCAATGTCCTTTAAAAAAACCTTATGTTGGCAAACCATTTGGTAACAGGTGGATAGAGATGGAAATAGCATCTCTCTAGGGAACATATGAATAAGAATCTAAAAATGCCTTATACGCATTGCAACAGGCTGTACCCAGCCTACTGCAGGATGAATTCTGGTAGCAGGTACAATGACTTTGTTAAGTTACCATGCCAGACACTCCAGGCTGCACAGGCAAGTACTAGCAGCGGCAGCCTCGCTCCCGCCCCACCAGCTCCAGCTCAGGGAGGTGCACAGTGAACCCAACCAGGGAGCTCAGCCAGCCAAAAAAAAATCAGCTTTTTCTCCTGAGCTTATTCCTCTGCTGGATCAGTTCCCTGAACGAGCCTGCCACATGCCGCATGAAGGCTTTTCTTCTGGCAGAAGTAGAACTATTGTGTTGGGGTTAGTGACAGGAGCTGCATCCATCAGCGGCAGTGACAGCTCACGCTGCCTGAAGCGCTTGTGGACATCCCCCGTCCACGCAGAAACACAAGCTCCACGCAGCAGAAAGTGAATTTGATGAGAATAAGACACCAAGAGTCTGCACAACACATATTCCTGAATAACTCTACAGGCAGACGCTTCTGGAGGAAGACCAGACGAGGATAACATAGCTCAGCAGCTGTTCTGATGACATGACGTGTTTACCAAGCTCACTAAACTGGCCGTGGGCTTGCGAGGGCTCTGCCTGGACTGAGCCGGCACCCAGAGCCAGCCTGGTGCAGCCCCTGCCCTGCCAACCGGCCTCGGTTCTTCTGATGGCAACAGCGAGATCTCTGCTACGGAGCAAACATATTTCAAACAAAATAGCTCAGCACGCAGCAGGGGGAAGGAAATTATTTTCCTTCCCACTTTCAAAAGAGATCAAAGAACCAGCGAGGACCTTCATTTTTAATTATAAACAACTCCCTCACCAGTCTCCTCCAGCAGCCTGGTAAAACGTCCGCAGAACACGCACAGGTCACTGCGGTGGGTGCTGGGCCAGGGCAACTGATGGGCTTTAGACACACTTCTGAGGATCTACCCTTTCAAGTTGGAATAACTGATACAAGTTTAATGGCTTTTCTTCTTCTGCCTTCCCCTGTTAGCCATGGGAGTTTCATGTACAGACCACAGTCCTCAGGCAGAAATCCACAGCATTTCCTAGAGCAAGGCTCAGTCCTGCAGTCACACCTGCTTGGAAAAATGTGTCAGGCCAATGAAGAGTAGTGCAAAAGCAGAAATTTGTATTTTCAGACTGCTGAATGAGGGCCAAGCTGGAAAAGAACAAGCTCAGGGCAATTAACCTCCAACACAGACCAAGAGGAGAATCCCAGTGGACTATCACAGCCTATGTTACAATGGACCATTATATCAATATATAATGGGAACATACTCAAAAAATAAGTGTATGTTGAGGGGATCAAAGCTGCTGACAAATTTTTAATGGACATTTGTAACAGCTTCCCTGGGTATCCGTCCCTGGGCTGTTTCCTATTATCCTACTAGAACTCTCAATGAGAAAACTTTTTTTTTTTCAGGAAAGACCGTATAACTGGCCATAGAGAAGAGGATTAAAAGGAAGGCAAGTCACATTAGAAAAATAAACACCCCACAAAGATGATGAAGACATTAGGAAAAACATTTACCTTAAAATACCAGAGCTGGTCAATTTAAACATTGTTAAGCCATGAGCAAATTAAAGCAAATGAATTCAGCAAAAACACTTTTACTATCTCTGACTCCCCACAAGAACAAATAAAGCACATTTCTCCTCCAGCCCAACTCATCCTCACCAGTACTTCTTACCCAACATAAAACGCAGTAATGCGACAATGGAGATTTGTAAAACCTGGCTTTACACAAAGGCTCTTCTGTTCCTGCTTTTATCTGCAGATACAAACAGGCTGTATACTGGAAGGCAAAAAAATTTTTCTATATTTGTTCAGATACCAGATGTTACACTGTCACTGGCTGTACTCACAATTCCTTGTGCTCAGAAGTGTGCAAATGAAACGGAGCTGAAAAATATAGCCTCGTTCATTTTCTTTTAAAGTAATGTACTCTTTACAATTAGGTGCACTAATCAGAACACATTATAATACACCAGAGGTTTCCTTTAAATTAACCATTAAAAAGAGAGTTCTCAGGAGAGATGAAAAATATAGAAAAAATTATCAAGGCAAGAGAGAGTAAGAAGCAGAACAATTTAGGACTATGACTGGTAATTACAACTTGAGAAAACAAACGTATGTAAAACCAGAGAGATATTCATGACCAAGCTGATTGTTCACCTGCTTCCTGTGCAAAATGTCCAAGAGCTCCCTGGCTATAGCTTTACATGATAAATACTAATTAAAAATCAGGGAAGCCGAGTGTAAAATTATTTTTGATGAACTAAAGCTGACAATTATTAAAGAAAACACACGAAGGCACACAAGAGACACCATTTGCTGGCATTATTCATCCTCCCTGGTTGGACTGGTATTTGGCGCCGCATGGAAGGGCTGAGACTTTAATTCTTCAAGTTTTGAATCTCGCTTTGGCCAAAGCCAACTGGAAGTACTAACAAATTAGTTGGCTGGTTTAGACCCAAAACATCCCTTTTATTTGGAAATGAGAATTTCATTACAAAGTAAGAAAGATTTCTAATCCAAGACCAGCTGAGTGCCCAGTCCAGCAGAGCTGAGCACAGCCCAGCAGGACGTTCCCCACGGGACACGGGGAGTTTGGGACGCCAGCTCTGAGCAAACTGCACCAGTTTTGGCACCAAAAGTGAAGATAAATTTCCTTAGAGCAAAGAGCACTGCAGTCATTGCAGGAAACAGCACTGATCTTAAAGCCTTCAAAGTGTTTTTTGACCTCAGATTAAAACCTTCCTCGTTTTTCAGGAGTTTGTAAACCTGAAGTGTCCTCCTCACTGCCACTGTCTGTTGCCTTCAGTCTTAGTCCAGGATGCATTTTACATCCCGTACACCCTGCAAACAGGGGTTTTGCAAATACTGCTGTCTATACAGGCAATAAAACTCTCCTTTCAGAGAGTTTATTATTCAGGGGGTTTACTAACACACACTGTGATCACATTTGGCCTTTTAGATCATTAGGCATCGTTACATATGAACAGGGAGGTACAGGAGGGACGTTAAAAATAATCCAGACCTTCTGAAGGAACCTGATACTTCCTAACAGCCTATTTTCCTCCTCAAGAGATTGAAGCTCAAGCTAGCTGAGCATTTTGCTGTTTCCAGGCTCCCATAAAGCTATGCTGCTTTCTCACATGCTCATCTCAGCGGTCCACAAAGGGAACCCACGGAGACATTTCCCTGCTCAGCGATGCAAAGCCCTCAATCAGAGGCAGTGTCTGAACCCCCCTGGCCATTCTGATGTGTAAAAAGCATGCCACGAGAAGATTTGAGATAGACAACCAGCTGCAAAGCATAATTTTTCTGCACACCAAAAAGAACCAGAAGGCCTGCCTAGCCAGATAAGAATTAATTCGAACATATGCTTCACGACAGGAGAAACCCCTTATGAACGCCGGCATAGAGAAAGGGAACTCTAAACCTTCCTGACAGGCACAAAATTCCTGTTCCCTCCCCACACACCCCTCCAGGTTCAAGAGCCGATTCCCCTGAATTACCCTCAGCTCACAAACCCCAACACACACTTACTGTTATCTTCCTACATCCTTAAAAACCTCGCCTTCCGTTTACTTCACCTAAGGTTTCCTGGCACGCTGCACTGGTAAAGCTTGGCTTAGCCCACAGGACTACTGGCTGTGTCACTTAAGGGGTCCTTAGCCTTGGCTTGTGATGTCTCTTCCACAGTCTGGCAAGATGACAAGGAACTTCTCTCTTCTAGCAGAGCAAAAGCTAGGTTTGGGAGTGAATCTCCTCATATAAACAAATAAAAACAAGCATGGCCAGGTGGGAGCTTGCTTTTTTGTTTTTTAAAGGAAACAAGAACAGGTCATCAAAAAGGTGAGACACCCCGTCAGGCAAAAGTCTTTTCATCTTCTCCTTTTATCCACATTCTTCTCTAACAAAATTAGAAATAGATTCTCCTTTCCTTAGAGAACGTACAAGAACACTTCAGGAAGGTTTATGATTTCCTTAGGAAAAAAAAAAGACACAAAAAAAGAGTATATTTTTCAGCAGCATCTTTCAGACCTCAAAGATGTGCGAAGACATCATGGAAAATGGCAGCAAAGGTAGGAGCAGGCATTGTGTATGCAGCAATACCACCCAAAGAGAGAGTTTAAACTTTT